CAATGGCATGATCTCGGCTCACCGCAGCCTCCACCTCCTGGGTTCAAGCAGTTCTCCTGCCTCAGCCTCCCGAGTAGCTGGGACTACAGGCATGTGCCACCATGCCCAGCTAAAACGTCTGTTCATCTTTGTGTTTCCTCAACTCACAAGTGCTTGATCCAAAGTAAGATATTAATAAATGTTCTCTGAATAAGTGAATGACTTACTTTCCCCAAAACAAAATAGACAAAAGGACACTCAGAGAACTCATCTTTTTACAATGTATTAATTTGATATCTTTGGTATATTTCACAGAGCCATGTATATGAAGGTATGCTCTGAAAGCATCCAATAATGGATGAAGACACATCTGCTTCCCCTGTTTCTTTTTCGACTAGCTTGTCAAAAGTTTGATTTTGTAGGAATGGAAAAATACTTTAGAAGCAAAATTAATAATATGTGGAGAAAAGTTTCTCTAATGTTCTTAGACATTTTTGCAACTAATTTTAGATGATTCGTGTTACAATAAATGGTATTGGCTCATCTTCAGTTTCAGTGTGCTCTGCTTCATTTAAACCAGAGCTCGTTTTGACAGGCAGAGAGGATTCCCAGAGGGGTCCATAGGAAATTCACATTTTACCTATTAAGGTTGTGCACTTGGCTAATCCTTATGCTATGGAAATTCTGTTGTCAACATTGGTTTCCTAATTCTTGTGTATGGTATTGTACCAGGGACCTTCACTGTGTATGAATGTTACCTTTGAAGAAACATGAGAAGAAATACATTTTAAAGACACTTATGAACTGGTAGGATTGTGAACAGCATATAAACTAAAAGAACTGATTTCCTGCAAATGTTTAGTGTCTTTTATGTTATAACACATTTGGCCTCATTTAAATTGTGAATATATTGGTGCAAAAACTAAATGATTGTATTTAGCCTTCAAGTTTAATTTTAAAAATCATCTTCATTTCTTTATAAAGGGTTAAAATAACTAGAAATATTCTATTTCTTGCTCAAGATTTTATTTATTGCCATAGGTAAATGTGTACTGAATAAAGCACTGGCATGCATTTTCCCCACAGAGTAAAGCAGTTATTTATATATTAAACACTCACTATATGCCAGGCATTATGATAAGTGTTTGCAGAATTACCTCATGTAATCCCCAAATAACCCTGTTAATATCAACCTCATGTTAATAAATCCCCTCATTTAATCCCCAAATAACCCTGTTAATTTCCATTTTATAGATGGCAATACTAAGGCACAGAAAGGGAAAATGATAAACCCACTTTACACAATTAATCAGTAGTTGAGTCAAGATGCCAACTCTGGTCTGACTCTAAATATGTGCTCCCAAGTCAGTATATTACATTAATATCTGCTGTATTTGGATACTTTTGAGAGATTTTTTATTCTGGATTCATTCCCTCAGTCACTTTAACTTGAACAGAGTTATATAGTAAATGACTGATATCCTAGGATTACCTTTAAATGTCATAGGATGAAAAACTAAAGAAGCTGGTGGAACAGAATGGAACAGATGACTGGAAAGTTATTGCCAATTTTCTCCCGGTAAGTTAGTAACTTTTTCTTATTACAAAAGGAAAGCTTCTCCCAGTGATTTCTATAAAATATTCTAGGAGGGGTTATTAAGACAATGCATTATTTGCTCACATTTAAGAAGTAGGAGAAATGCCCTACCCATAACTTACATTTTATATTATAATGCATATAATTGGGATTTCTAAATTGATTATTGGAATTTAGATTATTAGAATCAATTATTATAATTTAGATTATCGAATTTTAAAAATAATTGCTTGTTTTATCTTTTCATTTATAGGTTAATTCGTATTTCGATGATTTGTTACGTGGTAGATGATTAAGCTTGTTATTTCTCCAAGTCAGTTTTTCCTAAATTCCCTATTTTTGTCAATAGTAATACTTTTGGCACCAGGGTTTAAAATTCTGGAGATGTTTCTTAACTTAGCGCATCCCCCCAACCCCTACATCCGAGCAGTTACTAAGGATACTGGAATTCCTTTATAGTCAGTCCCGTCCTTTACATTCTCATAGTTGTGCTGAAGGTTAGGCTCCTGCCTTCTCATTTGGACTATCATACAACTTCCTAACTGGCTTCCCCACTTGTAGTTTTTCATTTTTCTTTATTTCTTTTTTTTTTTCTTTTTTTTTTTTTTTTTTTTTTTTTTTTTTTTTTTNACGGAGTCTAGCTTAGTCGCCTAGGCTGGAGTGCAGTGGCACAGTCTCGGCTCACTGCAACCTCCACCTTAGCTGGGATTACAGGCGCCCGCCACCACACCTGGCTAATTTTTGTATTTATAGTAGAGACAAGGTTTCACGATGTTGGTCAGGCTGGTCTCAAACTCCTGACCTCAAGTGATCCACCCACCTCAGCCTCCCAAAGTGCTGGGATTACAGGTGTGAGCCACCGTGCCTGGCCAGTTTTCTACTTTTCCATCCATCCCAAACACCATTGGCAGGTGAGACTTCCTAAAATGCAGCTGTACCTTATCTTTTCAAAACCAGCCACAGTGACTTAGAACTCACAAATTAAGTAAACTGCCTTGACCTGGCACACAGAGGCCCTCATCTATTGCCCCAACTTCTAGCTCCAGTTCTGTTTCCTACTTCCTCTCTGTAAGCAGGTTTGCTTGAATTTATTTCTGCTTTCCCTCCTCTGGGCTTTTGCTCCTGGTGTTCCCACCTCCTAGAATGTTCTCCTTTTACATCACCAATTGAAGTTTTGTTCATCTTTCAAAGTCCTTATGAAGAGCTCTTCCAGACTCCTCCCAAGGAAACCATTTCTCCTCCTAAGAAGATGCTTCTTTCCTCACTTCAGTATCATTTTGCTTTGGTCTTTTCTTCCATATGAATCAAATTCAGCCTCTGTGATAATCAGTCATCTATTTGTCTTTTCCTTCTTAAACGATTACAAGCTCCTGTAACATAGGACCTGTCTTTTATGGATCTTTATTCCTTCTGCAATATAAATACCGTGGTCCTGAATCGAAGCACATCTCTTGTTGGAATGGGAAGCAAATTTTAGTCATTTAGGGTGGGTTTCCATGAAAGCCTGATAATATAGAATCTCTATCAAGCCTTAGGCCATGTAGATACTCTGCAGAAGTATCTCAGGTTAAGGTTAAGTTGACAGGTGCGTGTGTAGTATGATGGTCCTTTGGTTCATGTGGCAGGACTGTTTCCTTCAGGAGGCAGAGTGTATAATCTTAGAGCAACTTTGATGGATGACATACATGTTCTGTAGCCTGTAAATAATGAGGGATAGGTGAGCTCTAAACATGCTCTAAAATGTTCTTAAATATTTTCACTGCTTATGGTCTGTGTGTGACTCTATGACAACAAAGAATTCATGTGCTTATCACTTCATATCTTTATGGTGGTGCCTACTCTATTTGTCTAGAATCGAACAGATGTGCAGTGCCAGCACCGATGGCAGAAAGTATTAAACCCTGAGCTCATCAAGGGTCCTTGGACCAAAGAAGAAGATCAGAGAGTAAGTTCTTTCTTCATTGGTGTGTGAATCATAATTAAGAATATTCCCCAAACGCTGAATTTTTTTCTGTTTGAGGAAGCAGGTAAAATGGGCAAACAGGAAGTAGAGGAGTCTATTCCCATATTTCCAATGAATGAAAGCAAATTTTGGAAATTTTCTAAAGATCTTAGATGTAACACTGAAGAATGATTATACTGACTCATTACATAACATTAAAACATAGGTTATTTTTGTGTGTTTGTCTGAAGGTGATAGAGCTTGTACAGAAATACGGTCCGAAACGTTGGTCTGTTATTGCCAAGCACTTAAAGGGGAGAATTGGAAAACAATGTAGGGAGAGGTGGCATAACCACTTGAATCCAGAAGTTAAGAAAACCTCCTGGACAGAAGAGGAAGACAGAATTATTTACCAGGCACACAAGAGACTGGGGAACAGATGGGCAGAAATCGCAAAGCTACTGCCTGGACGGTAATAATATGTCAAAAAAATATATTGATCGGGAAGAATGAGGGAGTGGGTATTGGACATTTCTGCTTTAAATGTATGGTGAGTGAATTAAATTTCATCAGTCATAAGTGTTTTATTAGATAAACCAGCTACATAGCTTTTAGAGACTGAAGACATCTTAGAGTTTATTTGGTTGAGAACTTCTGGGATCCACCTGACAGTGAGCCCTGGGTAAAGACATTTAACTCTCCCCAGCCTCAATTTCCCTATTTCCAAAATGACTCACACAGGGCCAGTTTTAGGATCAAGTAAAATGAATGTCAAAGAACTTGGTAAATTATAAAACTCTAAATGCATAGAAAGAAACTGAAGGCAGTTTGTCTCTGGCTGAGTTCACATAGGTGGTTAAGTGACTCAAAAGAACTCAGCTACCATTTTCCTGATAACCATGTTCTTTTTTTTTTTTAAGACAGTGTCTTGCTCTGTCGCCCAGGCTGGAGTGCAGTGGTGCAATCTCAGCTCACTGTAACCTCTGCCTCCCGAGTTCAAGTAATTCTCCTGCCTCAGCCTCCTGAGTAGCTGGGACTACAGGCACATTGCCACCATGCCCAGTTCATTTTTGTGTTAGCTGGGGTTTCACCCTGTTGGCCAGGATGGTCTCAATCTCCTGACCTCGTGATCCACCTGCCTCGGCCTCCCAAAGTCCTGAAATTATAGGCGTGAGCCATGGCGCCTGGCCTCCTTCATTTCTTTAAATTTTTTTTTTTTTTTTTTTTTTTTTTTTAAGAGACAGAGGCTTCTTCTGTCACACAGGCTGGAGTGCAGCGGCATGACCATAGCTCAATACATCCTTGAACTCCTGGGCTCAAGGGATCCTTTCACCTCAGCTTCTTGAGTAGCTAGGCCTACAGGTACAAGCCACTACACCTAACTGATTTTAAAACACTTTTTGCAGAGTTGGTCTTGCTGTGTTGCCCTGGCTGGTCTCAAACTCCTGGCCTCAAGCAATCATTTCGCCTCCCAAAGTGCTGAGATTATAGGCATGGGCCACCGTACCTGGCCACCAATATTCATTTTATTATGCCAGTTTGCTTAATTTTTTACTCCGTTGATTAAAGAAATAAGGTGTTTCTCGAATTCTCATACCACTTCCAGGATTTTAAATGTCAGTGTAATAATGCTTTCTTTTCAATGAACAAGGCAAAGAAATGACCTCATTTTGAGAGATAACTATGGAAGCTCATTTTTGTCCCATTTTTCCCACTTAAATAGTATATAACAGATTTCGTTACTTTGGAAAGCAGTACTTTTAATGATAAATCTTGCATTAAAATGATATAGATAGAAAATATTAAAAATAATTTTATTCTTGAGCTTCATAATCCAGGAGAAAGTTTGTGTAGTATTCTCCAGTGATGCTTCAATGCATTTGTACCCTCATAGTTCAGTATAAACTTAGAAAATTCAAGAGGTTGGTAAAAAGAGGTCTTCATTCCCATATGGCCTCAGAGGATACACTGCTGATTCTTCTCAAAATTAACAAAGCTATTAAACTTCCTCTTTCTTTAGCATACATTCCCCCACCCCCATTGAAATAGTAAAAGGGAGGCTTAAACGGTTTTTTTGAATTGAGAAACTGTTTTTCCTGAGAATGGAAAGACTTTAGTAAAAATGTGTTGCTGTTTGAAACTATACTGGGGGGGGTTAGGATCTTTCCCTTCGGAATGCCATTTTCCACTCTCATCTCTGTCTGATCGGAATAACAATTGGGGTGGTTTTTAAAGGGTAGGAGGTTTTTTGGTCTCAAAAGTTCTTGCTAGTGCTTCAAGAGATAAAGAGTGAAGTATTCTTCATCAGCAACATCTTATCATCCACCAAACTTCACCCTGTCTGTCCCTGTCGTGGTGTGTAGGCCCTGCTGTGCCACATTCAAAGGAGGAATTTCTTCAAAGCAGCTAGAACTTTACATTGTGTTAGAGTCTTGTACCACAAACGGTCAGAATAAATATGAAGCGTTATTGTATTGAAAATACTCCTTTACCAAGGAAATGAAATGGTTAAAAGATACTGACATTTCTAGAAAAAGATGTGCATTCCAGATTGTATTACTAAGAGAAATCTATGGATTTCTAACGAGGCAATAGAGAAAGCCTGAACTTAGGGGGTGGAGAAGAAGGAAACTATTAAAAAGGGGAAAAACTATGAGTGGGCCCAAGGGAAAGGCCTGTGTTAGAAACAGTTTTCTGTCAATTCAGTTTAATCTGAATTGAAATTTTTTGTATGTGAAATTTGTATGTGATATATTTCTGTGCAGAACTGATAATGCTATCAAGAACCACTGGAATTCTACAATGCGTCGAAAGGTCGAACAGGAAGGTTATCTGCAGGACTCTTCAAAAGCCAGCCAGCCAGCAGTGGCCACAAGCTTCCAGAAGAACAGTCATTTGATGGGTTTTGCTCAGGCTCCACCTACAGCCCAACTCCCTGCAACTGGCCAGCCCTCCGTTAACAATGACTACTCCTATTACCACATTTCTGAAGCACAAAATGTAAGCCATTCTTGAGAATCTAGTTTAATGAGAGAGATGGTTAATTTAGTTCCAGGTAGTAATCACATTTTGCAGTTGTATACTGTTCAGAGAACTTTCCTGGGCATGATCACGGCCAGTCTTCACCAATGCCCTTTGAGGTAGATGGGGTGTAGATATTGTTTGTTATCCCTGGTTTATGTCTACAGAAATGAAGATGGTAAGTGCTTTGCTCAGGGTGACGTAGAGACAGTGCTGACTAGAATTCTAACTTGCTGCTTCAAATCTAATTTGAAGGTAACCTTTGAATGTAAATGTATTTAAGGTACTGCCGAAGAATAGGGGAATGGAGTTGCATTTGTAGATTAACATTTCTCTCTTCCAAAACCAAAATGGAAGGTATATTTAAAGAGGCAAGAATTTGACACTGAAATTCAGTGGTTATGGTATGTTCAGTTCTGGTAATGATCTAGCAGACATGTCTTAATTTATTCACTTGGTAAGTGTTTACCTTCTTATTCTAAGTCAGGAGCAGAACTTTGTGACATTCATTTTCTGATGCTTCCTTTTAGTGTCCTTTGGATCAGTGTGATCCCTTTCTTATTTCTAGATATTTATATTTAGAGAAAGAGATAATCCATAATAGGTGGGAAAAGAAGAAAAAGAGCAAAAGAAATCGAGAAACTTTAATCTTAAGACTAACAATAATAAGTGATGAAACTTACCCATGAATGGGTAGGCTCATATGCAAATTCTACGTAAAACATGTTCATAAATAGTTTTTATTCTTCTCTGTTCATGCATTTGACTACAAACTTTATAGAAAGGTCTCAGATGGATACATTATCATAGGAAGTTCTGTGCTTTTTATTAAAATTCATAATTATTCCAAGAAAAATATTTTTATTTACACACAGCTGGTACCATCAGTTTTTCCCATAGAAACTATTTTCAAACATTCATTCGTGTATTTTAGATTATATATTTTTTCATTGTGTTTTTCTCTAATTAAGGAAATTAAAGTGCCAATAACTTCCCAAAATTTAAAGTGCTCATCAACACTTCCCAAGGATTGATGAGCACTTTAAATTTTTTCACTATGTTGCTTTAGCTATTTAGCCATTTTAAAGGCCTGGCTACATTTCACAATAAAAGGTTTTTAAAAATTGTTTAGTGTATTTCAGTCCCAGAGCAAAACCTCAGGAAGCCAAGTGCTCTGAAGCATATGTAACCCTGAATGACGTGGCCTTTGTCTCTCTTTCCCATCTAGGTCTCCAGTCATGTTCCATACCCTGTAGCATTACATGTAAATATAGTCAATGTCCCTCAGCCAGCTGCCGCAGCCATTCAGGTAAGATCATTTTATAAGGAAACTCATTCACTATTCAAGGCACCACTTTTAAGAAATGCTTTATTTCTTTCATCTAAACACATATTTTCATCTGAGCAACTGAACTTGAAAGGGAACGTGGAGAGGAGAGCAGAGTCTCAGCCAGCCATCTACCAATCTTGTCTTCTAGAGTGAGTTTGCTCTGGAATTTTCTGATTCTTAGATGTTGCAGAATGAAATAATTCATCAGTCAGCATCCACTCTAGCCTGAGATTTCACATCACTCCCTTAAGTCTGAAGTAACATTTATAGAGATTTCCACAGGAGCCAAATTTGGTGGGTGTTGCTGTCACACTGAGGCTCTTTGGGCTGTCTTTGGTACCTCATGACCATATAGGCTACACCCATTGTATTTGCAGCTTCCAGTCAGAACTTTGTCTTTATTTCCCTGACCTTGTAATTTCAGAGACACTATAATGATGAAGACCCTGAGAAGGAAAAGAGAATAAAGGAATTAGAATTGCTCCTAATGTCAACTGAGAACGAGCTAAAAGGACAGCAGGCACTACCAGTAAGACTAACATCATGTACTTGAATGGAGGGGATAGCAGCTTTGCCTCAGTTTACCTAAGCACTCTTCTCTTCTAAATATTATACTTACCAAGGTGCTATGTATCCATTCAGAATGTCTCAACACAAGAAGTTGAATGTAGTAAAATGCAATTGATATCAGAATATATGCTGATTACATTGGAAGCAGTCTTTTTGTAATTGCAATAGAAATGCAATATCCAATTGTGATTGTCATTATCAATGTTTTTTTCTTCAGAAGGACTATAATCAGTTTAAAGACTAGCAAAGATAAAACAAATGAAAAACTGCATTTTCTACAGAGCTATGTATCTATATAGTACCATTTTTTCTATTATTTTCTTAACCTATATTTTCATATTTTATAATTTCAGATGTGATTTGATGCATGTTCTATATATACATGTAAAAGGTTATATATAAAACCTCTTCCTAAATAACATTAGCTGCTCTCTTTTATTTGTATGTGTGAAAGTTATGTGGGCCATTACTGAACTCTGACATCTTTTTTAGTGACTGGGCAGCCAACTGGGATAGCTCCTTGTGCTTTGTAACATAGATACACAACCAACAAAGACAATAAAAGAGAAGTGAGGCCCAGTAGGTCTTCCTAGGGGTACATTTATTTTTTGTTAAATAATAAGATGATTGTGTGCACATGCTAGTTCGACCACTTTTTAACTTTAGTTAATGTTTTGCAATTTCTCCTGTTGTGTGGTCATACTGTAAGGAGACTTCTGTTAATTTGCTCTTCTGCTTTCCTAACCACGTTGATCTGGCAGCGCTTCACTGCATCAGTGCAATCTGTAGCATCAGAAAGGGACAGAAGCAACGAGACTAGGTGCAGATCAAAGCAACTCGCACTCCTGAGTCCTCCAGCTTTTTTGTGGTTAGAATGCAAATAGGACAGTTCCTCACTCGCAGCAGGCACGTATGGACCCTTGGCAAATTATATTAAAGTGGATTTTTAAGACAATATGAGAATTATACTTTGTAACATAGACCTGTGATTTGATGTTTTTACAAAATGATCACAATTTAAGGTAATCATACAGGTACAACCTCTAGCACTATTAAAAACAGGGTGTTGCATTGATAAAAGGAAACATCTTGACAACTGTTTCATAGGCGTAAGTTTGGGATGATGCAACTACTCTTATCTTTCCTCCAACAGCATCTGATACCTTGTGCAACTTCATTGCTAAGTTCCTTCTCCCTTTCTTCTCCCCTCTCTTTATTTCTACACCCTTCCCCCTTCCTTAGACACAGAACCACACATGCAGCTACCCCGGGTGGCACAGCACCACCATTGCCGACCACACCAGACCTCATGGAGACAGTGCACCTGTTTCCTGTTTGGGAGAGCACCACTCCACTCCATCTCTGCCAGCGGATCCTGGCTCCCTACCTGAAGAAAGCGCCTCGCCAGCAAGGTGCATGATCGTCCACCAGGGCACCATTCTGGATAATGTTAAGAACCTCCTAGAATTTGCAGAAACACTCCAATTTATAGATTCTGTAAGTAGAATTGTGAAGGGAAGTTAACGATTCTGGAAGATAAATTATAAAACCCATGTCTTAAATCATTGCCATTTTCTATAGCCAAGATGTTATTAGCATATATTCATGTAAAGGTAAAAGTATGATTTTTGTCTTCATAAATATGTTTTTTTCAAAGCTCCAATTTCCTAGACTACCAAGACAAAAGTATTTATAAATACTTACAACATAGGACTTTTGAAGGAAGAGGTTTTTTTACATTTTCACACTTTTCCTTCAGAAGTCACATTTTTTAAAATAGTCAAATTCATGAGTTATAAAGCAGAGCTTGGATTATTGGAATGGAATGGTGTTTGAGTTACTTTTAACTTTTTTTTCCTTTGCTTACTTCATGGTGCTTCTCTAGAATTTTGTCTTGCTTTTGAATAGCACATTAAGGATCTGGCTTATTCAGAGCTTAAAGCAATTTTTTAGTGGATTTGAAGTGATAATCAGTTCTTTGGTCATACCTGGCTCTTTCCACAAAACGCATTTATTGATTACTGGCCCCATTGCTTCACTGAGATGAATCATCTTTAGTGAAACAAATTTGTATTCAGCACCTCCATAGCAAACACTTGGTTCCTTTCCCAGTTGGTTAAAAAGCATTTATGACACAGTCTTTGGACAAGAGATGACCATTGCCATATATGCCATCTAGAAAAGGTCTTCACTTTGCTTTCCATTGCATGCAGATGTAGAGAGCTGGGAGGTCCCTGCAGCACATGCAGAGGGCCAGCCTCGAGGCAGCCCGCTAGACTACTCTACCGCAGCATAATAGAGCAACTGCTCATCTTGAAGCTGTTGCTCAAGAAGCCAAACCCACGGGCCCAGTGTTTGCTTTGCGTTGAGCATCTCTCTCTCAGTGCTGTTTCAGGTGATGATGGCACACACTGTCTCAAAGTTCTGTGCCTCCCACATTGTTTCAGGATTCTTCATCATGGTGTGATCTCAGCAGTTTTGAATTCTTTGAAGAAGCAGATTTTTCACCTAGCCAACATCACACAGGCAAAGCCCTCCGGCTTCAGCAAAGAGAGGGCCATGGGACTAGACCTGCAGGAGAACCTAGCCTGAGGGTGAACAAACGCGTGTTGAGTGAGGGTTCACTTGACCCACCCAAGGTCTTACCTCCTGCGAGGCACAGCACAATTCCACTGGTCATCCTTCGAAAAAAACGGGGACAGGCCGGCCCCTTAGCCACTGGAGACTCTAGCCCCTTCATATTTGCTGACGTCAGCAGCTCAACTCCCAAGCATTCCCCTGTCAAAAGCCTACCCTTCTCTCCCTCGCAGGTAGAGCACAATTTCTGCACAGCTGTTACTAATTTTCAGCAGACACCTGAGCCTTAATAATCTAGAAACTAATACTTTGGAACAAATGACTAATTACTGCTGCCCTTGCTGATTTCATCCCGTCCTTGAATCTAGCTGTTGCTAAGTTATACTGCCTCCCAAAGTTTAGGCTGTCTGCAGGCTGACTGTTGATTTTGGCATCATTCTCTCTTTTCCTTTTTGGGTGGTTTTGAAAGATAGTTGCATGAAACGTACTTTTAGTTCCTTCAACGCTAGAGTTTAACATTTCTATTTCTTTTTCTCCCATCTGATCTTTCCCTTTAAAATTTTTAACATCATTTCTGCCTCGTTGTTCATTTATTCTTATGCAATCCACTGACCCAGGGGAGGAGGGAACCAAATTGTGTTTATATAACATTTGGGTTCCAATTAGAAAATTTAAAGCTAGAAAACTTAAAGGTTCCAATCCATCTTTCAGTGGAAGAGTTTGGGAAGAGGATGAGAAACAAATGCTTAAGGAGAAGAACGTATTTTTAATCTCAGTTTCTCAACATTGGCGCTTTTGAGTTGTGCCATACTATTTTACTAGTGCAGTTTCTGCCAACAAATATTTTTATTTCATACAGCTTTTTTAAGGCATGAAAATTACAATTCTTATTAAGAGATTTGTGTTCCTAAATTGTTTAAATCATTAAAATTAATAGATAATTTAGCACTTTAAAACATTTTTCCAATTGTATCTGTTGAATTTAAGAACAGATTTAGGTATGATGTAGTCATATACATTTGGGAAACACTGAATCAAACAAAGATAAAAGTGGATTTCTTAGCTGAGCAGAGTGGCATGGGCCTGTAATCCTCGCTACTGGGGAGGCTAAGGCAAGAGGATCACTTGAGCCGAGGAGTTCAAGTTCAGCCTGGGCAACATAGTGAGACCCCAAGTCTTAAAACACTTTTTTTTTTAACTGCAGGACTTCTCAGAGTTATTAATATGCCATTGTGCCTTGGGAACTTCCAGGAAAAGATGACAATATGTTATGTTTCCCAAATTTATTTTACCTTGGAATTGTTTAAGGAACACCTAGTTTTTTTCCCAGAACATTAGTGTTCTGAGAGACACAGTTTATTATTCAAGAATTTTCCACATAATGTAGACCTTCTATAGTAATAATTTTGGTCCATAGATTATTAAAGAGAAGAAACAAAGTATGAAAGGAAACTATGAGTTATTAACTATTATTTCCCCCAAAATCACTAAAGCCTTTTAAATGTTAATAAATAACACCTCTCATTCTCTTTAATGACAAGTGTCATTTATTGAGAATATTTTCGCACAGTTTTGCACATTTTTCAGCATTGACCCTAGATCTTATTTCTTGGAAACCACACCCAAATCTTGGGTGCTCAATCGAAATAAAACAATTCTCTGGTCAACACTACATGCTTGTTAGCATCTTTATTATTTAATATAGTACGTCAGTAAAACATTCTTATTACCTAGGTGTGATTTTTTCTTTTTTTTTTTTGAGATGAAGTCTCTCTCTGTCACCCGGGCTAGAGTGCAGTGGTATGATCTCAGCTCACTGCAACCTCTGCCTCTTGGGTTCAGGTGATTCTTCTGCCTCAGGCACTACAGGTACATGCCACCAAGCCTGGCTAATTTTTTTTTTTGTTAGTAGAGATGGGGTTTCACTGTGTTAGCCAGGGTGGTCTCAATCTTCTGACCTCATGATCTACCCGCCTCGGCCTCCCAAAGTGCTGGGATTACAGGCGTGAGCCACCACGCCCGGCCCTAGGTGCGATTTTTAAATTGGATGGAATAAAGAAGTACTGTCTAAGTAATTTTTTTCTTTCTCTCCATATTTAGTTCTTAAACACTTCCAGTAACCATGAAAACTCAGACTTGGAAATGCCTTCTTTAACTTCCACCCCTCTCATTGGTCACAAGCTGACTGTTACAACACCGTTTCATAGAGACCAGACTGTGAAAACTCAAAAGGAAAATACTGTGTAAGTCTTTGGTTCAGGAATAAGATTATTTATCTTATTTACTTATATTTAATTAATGGAATATAGTCCTCAGATGTCTGATCCACTTGTATGTGTATAATTTTACTGCCCACTTACATATAATCATGTCTAGTCCCACATTGCATGTATCTGTCCTGGGTGCATTAGAACTACCTAGAGGTAGAAGATGGGAACGTAAACTAAGTTACCTTTTGTAACTTACTCCAAGATTTTCTATATATGCACAAGTAATTTTCATAAAACTTTTACATCCAGTTTGTTTGTTCCTTCAATAAGGCCTTCTTAGGAAAGCAAGCTTTTTAACCTTCTTTCCTCTCTAATTATAAACTTCAGAAGAAGAATGAGTATGGTTTCTTACTTGGTTGTAGTTTTTATTTAATTTTATTTGTTGATTATTTATTTTTAGGTCATATTTTTAATCTTATATTTTCTTTTTGAATTTATGTGTAGATAGGACCTCTTCTGACATCCCCAGGAATATTATATGATTAGAAGCCAAGGGATGAGTAAGCAGTCATCTTTATTCAATAAAGCATTGATCAATTCAAAGGAATGGCAGAGAAAATCAGTGAGAATTATCAGAAACCTTGAAAAGAAATGCACTTTTATTTCAAAGTACAAAAAGTAAATTTTAAAAGGTTAACATGTTTTGTAGCACGGGCTCTGTTTTCATGAAAAGGGAAAACTGATTTGTAAATGACATCAGGTTTTCTTGATGCGTACAGTCTTATACAGGCCATGGGCACTACGTGTGTCTTCAGAGCCATTAAGGAAAAATAGAAAATCATTTAATGCTTTTATTCTTATGGGTATAATATTTTAAAATATTTGGAAATATGTGATATTTCTTTTTCTTAACAAGGAATATGATTAATCAGCATACCCAATTCCATATCCATAACAGAGTGTATGGTATTCAGTGGAAAAATATTAAATGTAACAGGTAAAGCCATGTAAAGGACATGCATTCTTTTATATTGAGCCACTGCTTGTTTTCTTTTTAAAGTTTTAGAACCCCAGCTATCAAAAGGTCAATCCTAGAAAGCTGTCCAAGAACTCCTACACCATTCAAACATGCACTTGCAGCTCAAGAAATTAAATATGGTCCCCTGAAGATGCTAGTAAGTTCTAGAAAAGTTCTTGGGTTTGGTTGGTGTATTAGTCCCGACAGGAGTTCTCCTCTGATGCAAAAATACCCACTCTTCCCTGTAGCCTCAGACACCCTCTCATCTAGTAGAAGACCTGCAGGATGTGATCAAACAGGAATCTGATGAATCTGGAATTGTTGCTGAGTTTCAGGAAAATGGACCACCCTTACTGAAGAAAATCAAACAAGAGGTAAACACGAAATCCTTTGGAAGCAACAAGCTGAGAATCCTCCCCTTTGCTCCTTGTGTACAGCTTTATGTGTCTGCCGTTGGCAGACACCACCACCACTTTACATGCAAGATTTTCATACAAGGAACAGAGAAAAGGTACTGCCAGACTGTAGGCATCATCCACCTTTCCTTTGAGAAGCCAAGCCATCTCTGTTTGCTTCGTGTTTGGACAGAAAACATGCTAAAGAGTATCAAGAAAAGGGAGGGAAACAGCTTTTTAATGTACTTGGAAACATTACTGATTATAGATAGTTGATATTTCATTTTTAGATATTGTGAAGAATTGGAATTTGAATTAAAATAATAGTATCTTTAATTCATTGTAGGAAATCTAACCTGCAAGGATCAGAGTTTTAGCTCATTGGCAACAACTGTTTTCCAGCAGGTTAGATACAATGCCTCTTGAACTTATTTTCTTGTAAAGATAAATATTTGATTTTTTTCTCATAGTTAAAAATCTGATTATCTTATTCAGTAATGCAGAGTGTGATTAAAAACCAGTCTTTTGTCACCAAAATAAAATCCATGACAGATGCAACACACGGATATCACTAAAATATATTCTTAATAAAATAAACACCTAGAATCAGAACATTGGTTGAAAACACAGGAGCTTTACTGGGGCAGTAAAATTTGGAGCTGGTCACGTTTTAAATTTGCCGTCAGTGGTTCTTTGTTGAATCCAGAAGATAGAGCAAACTGAGTTGATAGTGCAAGTTAGCAACATAGTTTTATACAAGTATTTGAGGAACTGGCCAGAAATACACTCCTGACTAAACGTTTCATAGGAAGTTCTAGTTCTAGAATCAGCAAAGCACTTTCTATATGCTTTAAGGTGGAATCTCCAACTGATAAATCAGGAAGCTTTTTCTGCTCACACCACTGGGAAGGGGACAGTCTGAATACCCAACTGTTTGCACAGACCTCACCTGTGGCAGATGCACCGGTAAGTATGTGCGCAGCAGCCCCCAAGTTGTTATGTGATGCTGGTGTCTCACAAAATCCCGTGTGTGGCCCATAGGGCTGCTACGCTTTCCGCGCTCCCTCTTTAAGACATCTTATTTCTAAATATTCTCCTGCGCAAGATTTTTAAAAATGTATTTTTAGTAGAGACGGGGTTTCTCCATGTTGTTCAGGCTGGTCTCAAACTCCTGACCTCAGGTGATCCGCCCGCCTCGGCCTCCCAAAGTGCTGGGATTATAGGTGTGAGCCACCAACCCTGGCCTGAAAAAATGATTATTAATGTAGAGTTTAAAGTTGAGATATTTTTGTGTGTGAGAAACATAGCAGGCTTTTTTGTTATTTGTTTTCTTATGATTTGAGTGCTTTGCCATTTTAAAAAATCTGCTATATGGATATTTCCATAAAAACAATGTTAATTTTTATATTTTCCTTTAATTTATTTGTCTTCTAAATAATATTTTCTTCTTGTTAAGTTGTCTCTGGTTTGGTTTGTGTAGCATCTATTATGGTATCACCCACGGTGTCTATAGTAGATGCACAGTATTGTACCCACTTGCTTCGGTTTACTACCACCATTTTTAAAGTTTATAATTTGTGAATGGTTGTCCTTATGTCTTAACGAAAATCAGAGCTAATGACAACTTTATTTATTTAGTAGGTACTAAGTGGTAATTACTGTTCTAGGGGCTTTCAATGAATTAATTCAATTAATCCTCACAATTATCCTGTAAGGTTGGGGGTTTTTTTTCGAGATGGAGTTTCGCACAATCTCCGCCTCCCAGGTTCAAGTGATTCTCTTGCCTCAGCCTCCCAAGTAGCTGAAATTATAGGCATGTGACACCATGCCTGGCTAATTTTGTATTTTTAGCAGAGATGGGGTTTCTCTATGTTGGTCAGTCTGGTCTCAAACTCTCTGGTCTCAAACTCTCAACCTCAGGTGATCCACCCACCTCGGCCTCCCAGAGTTCTGGGATTACAGGCTTGAGCCACCGTGCCTGGCCAGGTCGATATTATTATCATTTCCATTATGTCAACTGGAAAACAGAGGCACAAGGAGGCCTCATCATTCACTCAAGATTATATACCCAATAAGTGGTGGTGCTGGGTAGGAACTCAGTACGTCTTGTTCTATATTCCCTACTTTTCACCATTTTTTGCCAATAATTTATAGCTCTAAAATATTGATAGTTATGTACCAATATAGTAAATAAACTGTTCTCTCCCCAGAACTTAATACATCTTCCATTTTTAAAGGCATGTGTTTATTAATTCATTTAACAGATGTTTTTTGAGTGCCTAACACATGCCTAGCACTCTGTGGGATCCCAAAGGAGGTTTGTGTTGTGGTGATGTTTGCCACAATGGGATTAAGGTTCATACATAGTTGAGTTCTCCTTTAGCTCAGAGTGGGAAGAATTTCTGGCAGATAACTGCATTTTTTTATGCTAATGCGTATCAGCTCATAGTAATCTACTCTCTACAGTATTAGAAAAATGTTGGCTCTCATATTATCCAACCTCATTTAAATTTCAAATTATTCTCTTCCCTTTAGAATATTCTTACAAGTTCCGTTTTAATGACACCAGCATCAGAAGATGAAGACAATGTTCTCAAAGCATTTACAGTACCTAAAAACAGGTCCCTGGCGAGCCCCTTGCAGGTAATTGCTATTCCAACATTGGTATTTTAAAATTCATTCCCTGAAAAACCGTCATTGGTGGTGGTGGTGGTGGTGATGGTGTGTTTTTTTTAACATTTTAGACATAGAGGAGTGATGCTTTTATGCAATTTCTTGATGTCTAGAAAAATCCAATCATTCCTTTTTGCTACTCATAGGAGACATGCTAGAAATTTTTATGAGTGCAGATTCCCAAAGCATGATGAAATGAAACGTTTCTTATTGTGACTGAGACTAAGAATATGTATTACATGTGTACTACATGTGTCACTATCTCCTTCTGCCCTTAAATATTTTATAAAAATATATCGATATAGTTTACTTTTTGTTCCAATTTTTTCCTTTTTTATGCTGTATTCCCTAAGCAACCAAAGCTTAGAGACTGTTCCAAATGAAGTTTGAAATTAGACAGAAAATAATTGCAATGTATTTGACTGTCAGAACAAGAAAGTCAGCTGTCAATGTTGTACGGCCAATCTGAAGTTGACCATCTGCAGTTAAGTTTTAATATCAAAAGATATTTCCCTTGTAACCCTCAGGTGGGTGTGTGTTGATGAAATATAACAAATTCCAAATTAATCCTGAGCCAAATGTAAATAAGAATGCAAATTTTACTTCCCTAAATTATTTAAAGCAGTTCCTAACAATAAATAGCCCAATACCCAGCCACCTGCAGAGCCCTCTCCTCCATCCCCATGGGCCACGCAGAGGGAAACTTCATAATCCTAGAGGAAGTGAAGAGCCTGGATTCAGAAGCTGAAAGACATATTTCTTGCTGTATGTTAAATGGCACTATCATAGGATAGCAACTTTTTGAGAGTCTGCCCATTCCCTGAACGGGCTTTCCCATTCTTGTGACAGTTTCTCATTCCAAATTGTGAGAGTCTTAAAACTTCCCCTGTTTAAGTATTTGCAATGCTTAGTTTTTTGGTGTTTTTGTATTTTGAGCCAGGGTCTTGCTCTGTGGCCCAGGCTGGAGTGTAGTGGCGTGATCTCGACCCACTGCAATTTCTGCTTCCTGGGTTCAAGTGTTTCTTTTGCCTCAGCCTCCCAAGTAGTTGGAATTACAAATGTGAGCCACCAGTGCCCAGTGATTTGTTTTTGTATTTTTTGGTAGAGACAGTGTTTTGCTGCATTGGCCAGGAAGGTCTCGAATTCCTGGTTTCAAGTGATCCACCCACATCGGCCTCCCATGGTTCTGGGATTACAGGTGTGAGGCACCACACCTGCCCACCTGGTGCTTAGTATTATTTTTAAATAAGGGCTGCAAGCACATTTTGTTTATTAATTAAATCAGATTGCTTCCTTCCTGGCCAACACAGTGAAACCCTGTCTCTACTAAAAATACAAAAATATTAGCCAGGTGGGGTGATGTGCACCTGTAATACCAGCTACTCCGGAGGCTGAGGGAGGAGAATCACTTGAACTCAGGAGGCAGAGGCTGCAGTGAGCTGAGATCATGCTGCTGCACTCCAGCCTGGGTAACAGAATGAGACTCCATCTCAAAAAAAAAGAATATCACAAAGAATTGGTAGATGAGGAAGAGAATGAACTCCACCCAGACATAAGAGGAACCCAGAAAGGGAGTTACAAGGATGTCAAGGCAAAAAGCAGCCATTTCAAAATTTCCCTGAGAACTGTTCTTAGGTTCAGAAGGAAAGCTTTTTCTTCTGTTTTTTTCCCCTTCCCTCCTAAGTTATTTGGCCTTTGGTTTCTAGAGAACAGAATTTACTGCTATTAGTGCTATTAGTGTTTTAATTAAATTAGATTAAGTTTTATGTATGTTTTCTAACCTAGCCTGGGGCCAAATTGTATCTGTAGTAGTAGAGGAAAAGTCTGTTCTAAATTTCAAAAAAACAAACACAGAAATATACTTGGGGACAGCTATTGTTACGTAAGTTGAAAACCCATAGTTCAGTATTGAACTTAATCAGTATATTTGTATTTTATTTAATGGAAATATTGGTTATCTTTGAAACTCAAAACTAAATTGTGGCTCTATTTTATTAATCTAAATTGTGGCTCTATTTTATTGTATTCTCCTGTCTATCAATGAGTCATTTGGGTAATTTACAGATTCTAACATATGTACACTGAGATTAAGTCATGTATGGTGAAGGTAATATTTGTCAGTTCTACCAAACTGAATAATTGAGACTTGAAAGTTAATTTTAGAGTTAATACTCCTATCTACAGTATATGGTTTACTGGTTTACACTGACCAAATATATTTTAATAATCTGCTATAAAGCTGGGTGCAGTGGCTCACACCTGTAATCCCAACACTTTGGGAAGCTGAGACTGGATGATTGCTTGAGACCAGGAGTTGAGGCCAGCCTGGGCAACATAGCCACAATCAGTCTCTATTAAAAAACAAAAAATTAGGCCAAGCATGGTGGCTTACACCTGTAATCACAGCACTTTGGGAGGCCAAGGTGAGCAGATCACCTGAGGTTGGGTGTTCAAGACCAGCCTGACAAACATGGTGAAACCCTGTCTCTACTAAAAATACAGAATTACTGGGCCTGGTGGCACATGCCTGTAATCCCAGCTACTTGGGAGGCTGAGACAGGAGAATCACTTAAACCTGGGTGGCGGATGGAGGTTGTGGTGAGCCAAGATCACACCATTGCACTCCAGCCTTGGCAACAAGAGCAAAACTCTGCCTCAAAAAAAATAAATAATAATAATTAGCTGGGTGGAGTGGTGGTGCACACCTGTAGTGCTAGCTACTCAGGAGACTAGAGTGGGAGGCTTTCTTGAGCCCAAGAGTTCGAGGTTACAGTGAGCCATGATCGTGCCCCTGCACTCTAGCCTGGGAGACAAGAGCAAGACCTTGTCTCTAAAAGAATTGTTTTAATCTGCTATAATACTAATTCATTTTAAGAAGTACTGACTGAATGTTGCTCTACATACTTGCCAGTTGGGAGGAAAACAGAAATATTCACTAAAAGAATGAATGCTATATACTAAGTAGTATCTCCTTCATTTTATGTCATAGAGATCTAGCTTCCGATACCACAGAAATATGTGATTTATAAAATGTTTCAGACTATCATGATAAGTATTGGAAAATCATTGAGTAACTCTGAATATTTAAACATATATGGCCTGTATTGCATATAATCCTGACTCAACAATATTTCTAGATGTTTTTATGCTATTTGGTAATTTTGTTTGTTTAAGACACAATGCCATTTCATGTATTTCCATTGATAATCCAATTTGACCTAATTAGGCATATTTCTCACACATGGTATTATTGAACATATGGCACATTTATTAAATGATATGTATTTTACTTAAGAGTACTTTATATAATCTATAATTTTTGTAATTTATATTTATAATAAATCAAATATTAAGTGGGATTTTAGCCAGACCATCTAGACGTTTTTGTCACAATGCTTTTATTAAAAGAGCAATATAGGAGTTTCAAAATATTTTAAAATTTGAATACTTTCAAAATGTAAAATATTTGCAACCGGTATAATGCAATTGATTGTCCATCCCTCTAAATTGTCTAAATAACTTATGTGGAAGAACAGTTTATTGAAGAACACAGTAACTATGCAATTCTGTGTTTTATCATTTCAGTTTGAATCACCCCTGACTGGATTATGGCAATAACATTTTAGATGAGCAATTATTACTGTTTTTGAGGCTCATATACTGGGCCATTTTGGTTTTGCTTCTAACGTACATATAAATGCACATGCTTATTCATAAATATGTATAAATTATGTTCGCTATTTTAAAATTAGAAATGCAAGAAGCTATATGTTTGACATTTTGTTATAAATTTTTATACACACTTAGAAGTATGGAAAACATCCTGTGTTCTAGATTTAACAATTTTTATCATTTTGCCATATTTACTTCATCTTTTTTTTTTTTTTTTTTTTTTTTTTTTATGGAGTCTTGCTCTGTCGCCCAGGTTGGAGTGCAATGGTGTGATCTCAGCTCACTGCAACCTCCATCTCCCAGGTTCGAGCAATTCTTCTGTCTCAGCCTCCTGAGTAGCTGGGATTATATGCGGGAATCACCACGCCCAGCTAATTGATTTTTATTTTTATTAGAGACCGGGTTTCACCATGTTGGCCAGGCTGGTCTGGAACTCCTGACCTTAGGTGATCCCCACACGTCAGCCTCCCAAAGTGCTGGGATTACAGATGTGAGCCACTGTACCCTGCCCACATTATGCAAAGTTTTAAAAGCCTTATGCATGGGTCTGGATTTATGACAGGCCCATCCCCCTAGGCCTGTCATAGTAACCCATGCCAGAGCAAACCGTGTCCCCAAACCATTGCCTGGCCTCTGTGCCCATAGGCTGCTGGCACTGAAGTGGGTTGCACAGTGGAAAAAGAATAATAAAAGCCTTACACAAAAGCACATATGTTGTATACTCTTTAAATTTCACTTAACCAGTCGGTTCTCCTTATCCATAGGTTCCTCACCCATAGATTCAACCAACCACATATAAAAAATATTCAAACTGACCATGATGGCTCATGCCAGTAATCCCAGCACTTTGGGAGGCTGAGGTGGGTGGCCTGAGGTCGGGAGTTGGAGACCAGCCTGACCAACATGGAGAAACCCCGTCTCTACTAAAAATACAAAATTAGCCGGGCTTGGTTGGTGCATGCTTGTAATCCCAGCTACTCATGAGGCTGAGGCAGGAGACTCTCTTGGAGGCGGAGGTTGCAGTGAGTCGAGATCCCACCATTGCACTCCAGCCTGGGCAACAAGAGTGAAATTCCATCTCAAAAAAAAAACACAAAAAGCATTTAGGAAAAAAAACAATAAAGCAGCTGGGCATGGTGGTTCAGACCTGTAATCCCAGCATTTTGGGAGGCTGAGGCATGTGGATTGCTTGAGCCCAGGAGTTTCAGAACAGCCTGGCAAACATGGCAAAAACCCATCTCTACAAAAAAAAACAAAGAGTAGCTGGACCTGGTGGCCCGAGCCTGTGGTCCCAGCTA